AGGTCGTCGTCGAGGTGCGACATGATGTTGTGGATGTCTGCTGTCTCAGCTCGTGCTCGGCCGTGCACGGGGATACCCTCCGGTTTGATCCAGTGCTGTGCCTCTCGTGGCAGGGACGTCGCGCCGTAGATGTTTCGATGACCGGAGCGACGTTTTGGCGGCGTCGACGCCTGGCTCGACCTCGGCGTCGGCTGGCGGGTGCCGCTCAGTGCTGCCGAGAGGACGGTGGTCCCAGTTGGGATGCGTGCCTTGTGTCGAGCTCTCCTGCGCGGGTGACTGGTACCTGATCTTCGGCTCTGTGATATCTGAGGTGCTCCAGTTCGTCGTCGTCGGCCTCCACCAGTGGTGCCAAGTTTCCGTTCGGGTCGCCTTCGCGCGCATGTAGCCTTGCACTCGTCTGTGCTGTCTCGTGCAGGTTGCCCGTGCTGAGGATCAGGTTGTCGCTGTGCGGATGTATGGCTCGGGCTCCATGTGTAACCAGCTCGTCCGTCAGGTACGGCAGCAGGGGAAATTCTTCGCTGATCTCTATGGCGTTGCCGTTCTCGTTGGTGACATGCAGGATAAAAGTCGCGAACCTGATGTGACTCTCGGAGTGGGTTGCTCTCCGCTGGGCGTCCTCGAAGTCCGTCTTCTTGTAAACCTGCATTGGTCAGCTCCTGTCCGTTGGGGCCTGTCTACGGTGGGTCGAGTTAGATCAGGTTGTGCTTGGCCATCTCCTTGGCTCTCTCGCTTGGTAGCGCTGCGATGATGGCCCTCCTGTCTGTCACGTTACTGTTGGTGCCGTCGCGGTTGACCTTGTGTTGAGTCGTATTGCTATCGGTTGTAGCACCTTACAGACAAACCTACAGGAACTCGGCCGCCTTCATAGACGAGCCGATGCCTATCCAATGAACGGTTGTTTGGCCCAAAGGCCGTTCTACCCCTAAATACATGATGGGCACAGCATGTGTGTGGCGTGCCACAGGAGTGGAACATGAGTGGCGGGGCCCCTCTCTCGAAGCCAGTCTGCAGGTGCCCTCATGTTCTTCGTGTTTGGATTTCCGAGTTGGAATGCCCTCTATGTGGGGTGCCCCATTAGGCCTGAGGACTGCGGCGTAAGAGCTCGTGGTCTTTACCCACCAATGTACCTGAGCTCCATCAGCGAAGCAGATACCAACAAGGAAGAGCCAGCGCAGGACAAGATCAGCCGACTGCAGAGGACGCTGGGAGGCGCCTTCAACGGGATTTAGCCCGCCTGGGCCCCTAAGTCAGTCAGCAAGCACGGGGGCCCATGGGTCAGCATCAAGTCCGACCCCAAGAAGAACTCCGTGCAGCTCTGCGAAGATTTTCTCCAGGCATGGGGCAAAGCGGGATTCGACGCCTACAGGATGGACGACGAGCACCAGCTCCGCGTAGACTGGCCGATCATTACGGACAGACATCGCAAGCAGCTACAGCGTAACACCAGGGCGCACCACGACGGCTGCAAGGGTGGCGCGCGCCCATACCCATGGGCAGACGGCAGCAAGGCGGCGCCTTGTCCCCCCTCAGCCTCCTCCGACGACAGGGAACCCGCGCAATTGGCCGCCTCAAGCGAGCCCTCCAGGGATGAACGACGGCACCCATGGTGCAAACCAAAGGAGGCCGCCTGCTCCCCTCCGGTATACACCGACTACAGGGTAGCCGAGCAGACAACCCCACCCAGTGCCGCAGGCCGATGGGAGACATGGCAGGCCTGAGAAGAGTGGGTCCACCGCCAGGACACGTGGTCAGGTTCCGACTGGAGGACCAGGGAGAAACGTTCGGCCCGCAGAGGAGACGCTCAGTATGCGGACAAGCGACAGCGCGGGTGGGACTCCGCCCGCAGGTGGGCCTGACGGTCTCACCCTGGCGGAGCGCTGCCCCACTGCCTCTCCCCAGGCCCAGGATGACAGCACCTCCATGGGAGAAAGATGGAGAGGGTTCCCCGCTGTCCTGCAGCCCATCTGCGGCTCAAGGCCTTTACCCCCTAGTCATGTCCATTCTACGGGTCGCCACTCAACCCGTATCAGAGCGCCGCGCATGCTTTCTCGACGACAACGACCTCGGACAGTTGGGGACTGCTTCCACCTCCGTATACAAGGTTGTCTCTATCGCGCTGACACTGTGGGCCATTTGGTCCCCCGACGCGCCTTGTGGGGCCCGGTGGGTCGGCAGTCCGATGGTCTTCTACCGCCCCTTTGCCGCCCACAGGAGCAGAGGTCACGAGGACGCAGACGCTGCAGGGGCTGTCTCCACAGGCCCCTCTGCGGATAGCCCCTATACAGCAGGGGCTGGTTTCACCGCAGTGGCAGGGCCCGGCCTTAATTCATTCGTGCCACCTCTTGGGAACGAGGTGCACCGCTCCCACTGCATCTAGACTCCCACGGTTCAGCGCGGTGTCTAGCCCGTGTGGTTACGGCCGCCATGTTGCCGTCACACGGGTCACTTGGGCTCTTCGCTAACATGGGCCCGAGGTGCCCGCCGCGCACCCACCTGGGGCGGCTGGGGCTACAGGACGAAGGCCCCCCCCCTCTCGCTCCATTACCAGCGCTTCTGACAGCGTCGACCTCACTTCTCACAGCGGCGACCCGGTGACGTTCCCGACCACATTGCGGGCGTGCGTGACTGATGCTGGGCGTTGGACCCTCGACAGTTCCCTCATATTCACTTGACCTGCGGCTATCGGCTGCGCCCCCCCCCCCCCTTCTTCCCATCGGCATCCACAGCTGGGCGCCCGTCGTGGTTGTTTCACCTCAGTGACATGTTGTGGCACTCCCTGCATTCCTCCCCTGGAAGCGGGACACCAACAGGATGTTGCGAGTTGCTTTCCACGGTGCACCGTGGCTTAGCCCGTGTGACGCCGGCTGAAATAATCCTCGCTCACGGTGTGACTTGGCCTAGCTCACGCGAGCACGGGCCCGCCTCGCCCGCCCGGGCATTTGAGCGGCTGGGTACGTCGGCCTAAGGCCCGCCCCTTCGTTCCACAGCCACAGCTGGGCCTTCGGCGTGGTTGGTTCATTTCAGCGACAGGTCGTGGCCCACGTTGCATTCCCCTCTGGATGTGGGGCGCCGCTATGGCGTGGTTGCGACCTTTCTTTCGCGGCGCACCGTGACTTAGCCCGTGTGACGTTGGCTGAAATAATCCACGCACGCGGTGGGAATTGGCCTGGTTCTCAAGCTGGGGCCCGCCTCGCCCGCCCGGGCGTCCGAGCGCATGGGTAAGTCGGCCTAAGGCCCGCCCCATCGTTCCACCCTGCACGTCTCTGCTGTGGCACCCCCCATTGGCAGGCGCTGACAACGGCTTCTTCGCGGGCGCCGGTCTCGGACACGGTCCGCCCGCCTGGGCTCGCCTACATGTGGTGCCGTCGGCGGGAAGGCACGCGCCCCTCTCTGTGGCCGTGCTACGGTGCCTTACATACTGGTGACGTGCATCGGTCCATGAGCCTCAGTTGCTCAGTGATTGAGGGTTCCTGGTCCCCGCATGCTTCCGGCGTTGGCTCTTGGCACGCTGGTATTTTTCTCGCCCGTCCGTGCATCCCCGCGCTGGCTTTGGCCAGCGGGTAATTTTCTCGCTTGGTCCTTCCCGGCTCGCTTCGCCTTCGCTGCGCTCTCCTCCCCTGCTTCCCCCTCCGGGTTCTCCCCCGGTCTTTCGCTGGCCTGCGCCTCGGGAGCTGGCGCCACTGTGCGACCTTCCGCTGCCGCTGTCCCGCTCCGGCTAATGTGCCTCTCTTAGTTTTCTGGCGTGTTTACTCATGCTCTTGCTTGCACTTCGGCGCTGGCTTTTGGCCCGCTGATAATTATCTGGCGTGTCCCCCCATGCTCGATACTACCCGCTCTCTGGAATCGTCCTTGGAGCCGCAGATTAAAAAAGCGTATCCCCACCAAGCGCGCCCGTTCGTCGTCCTCGAGTACGTGGACTTCATGTATTTCGCCATTTTGGTGCTGCACCTCGACCAGTAGTTCCTCCTGGTCCACCGCGTCTCCTGAGCCTCAGCGTAGCCCGCTCCTGTGTACTCTTGTGCGGAATTTAGGCCGCTTCTTGTTAGCCGCGTTTCTTGACGGCGCCTGGCATCCCTGCGCGCTCGCAAACAAAAATGTATCCCCGCCAGCCCATTTTGGACGCTGAGCCCGCTTCTGAGCGGGGCGTTGCTCCTAACTGTCTTTTTCTTCGCTTCGGCGCGGCCCGCCCTAGCTCTGCCCAGCTTTCGACCTGCTTCGCGAGCCGGTGAACCAAAAAGTAGCCCCACCAGCCCATCCAGAAAACCATGCCCACGAGAGTTGACGGGGTGAGAGAGGAAGAGACACGTAGTCAAACAGCGAGGGAGGCTTGGGAGGCTCCATGGCCATTTCGAGCCGTCTTGGAACGGTCTTCGGGCCGCTCCGAGCATCTTGGGAGCCATCTTGAGCCAGCTTGGGCTATCTGAGCCATCTTGGAGGTCATCTTGGGCTCTCTGCGGCCGTTCGGGGGCCTTTTGGGTGCCCGTCGGATGCCTCTCGGGGCCCTCTTGGGGCCTCTTTGGGCGCTCTTGGAACCCACTTTGGGGCCTCTTGGGAGCCCTGGATCGCCTCTTGGGGCCATCGTGGAGGCGGTCGGTCAAAAGAGGGGGGGGTCCTCGATTTCCCCCCCCCCCCCCCCTCGGGGGCCACGATCCTCGTTTGGGGTGTCGAAAATTGGCTTTCGCAGGGGCAGAAAAAAGGACCCGACACCTCGCTACCCCTCCCCAGAAACCTCATGGAGGGGAGGGCGAGGTTTCGCCTCCCCGAAGGGAACAAGGGTTGTAGAAGAGGAAAGAGACCCTCCTTAAACCACCTGTCGCCCAAGGGGCCCGTGGGACTTCTCAGAAGGCGCGGGGGCCTCTGAGAAGTCCCGCCGCCCTCAGGGAAGGCCTTTTCCTTCTCAGTTCTCCCCCTCGCTCGCCGCCGAGTGGGGGATCGCCTGCGTGGGAAAAGCCTCGGGGGAGGGAGCGAATCGAGCGCCTGGGGCGGCCCGTGAACGCCAGGAGCCGCCGGTGGCCGCGGAGCCTCCGCCCCAGCCGAGGGCGGCGCCGGAGGGGGCCGGGCAGGCGGCAGCGCCGCTGCCTCCGCGGGAGGAGCTCGAGGCGCTCATTGGGCGCACCGCGGAGGATCGGAGGAGGAATGGGGGCCCAAAGAATATACACCACCACCACGTCGATTCCTCCTCTCTCCTCCTTCCAGCGGGAGGGAGGGGGGGAGGTGGTGGTGCTGGTGTAGATTTTTGGGCCCCCCAGGGAAGGCGGCCCGCGAGCAGGGCTCGTTCCGAGTTCTCCGCTCCGGTTCGATCTCGATGGCTTCCGGTTCCGATTCGCTGCGGCCTGGGATTCCGATTCGGGCTGGCTTTTCGCCAATTTTCTGCCGGTTTCTGCCAATTTCGACTTCTCCCGGCTCGGCTGCCGACTTCAGCCGATCCGATACATGTCGATTGCCGATCCAACTCGTCGATTCGATTTTGGTCTTTCCTGCCCCGAGGGAAGATGTTTTTTTCCAGCGAGGGTTCAGCTACCATCTCTTGTTCCCTCCGTGTGGGGGTCCAACAGAGAACCAGGACGTGGTAGGTCCAAGAGCTCCAGCAAGGAAGAACCCAAAGAGAGAACTTAGTTCGTGAATTCCCCTGGCTCGTCCTCTCGCTCCCCTGTGGGCGGTATGAGGGGCGCCTCATCCCCTATCGGGGATTAGGGCGGCCTGCACCCGACCCTCGAGGGAAGAGGTAAGCTGGCAATGGCCAAGATGCCGCCGGAGCTTGTCGACGCCGACCTTCGAAAAAGAACAGAGGCATGCATCTTCGGAGCTCCGCGTGGAGTTCTTTGATCCGCGCTGGGGCCCCCTGGCGGCGCCTCTGGCGCCGTCCCTGGCGCGCTCTGTGCGCCAGGGAGGGTGGCCCAGTGCAGATCAAAGAAATCCGCGCGGACATCCGAAGGCTTATGTTTATGCAGATTGTTTTTCTCTAGGCCAGGGTGTCACGGGATCCGACCTTGGTCATGGACCTTGCCGGCCGTCGCCGATTGGCGAGTATGATTCTCATTTCGACAGTGACCAGGATGGGCGGTGACCAAGATCGACACCGACTTATCCACGGTCAGTCTTGGGCATTGTCACCATTGTCACTTACCCTTGTTCTCGCCCTCGTGGGCCTCCTTTCGAGGGGGGCCCTTGTCGCCACGGCTGTATTCGACCTGCTGGCGTGGTTAGAAGGCAACCAGGGGGAGGTCCAGGGGAGTGGCGGTGTCGGTGTCTTTTCAGGATGCAGTCCGATCCAACTTCGCAATTGGTGCTGACTGATCTTGCTCTTGTCTCGGCCTCCCAGATGGGGTCCGAGCAGATGGGGTCGGAGGGTCGCGCCGCATCGCCGATGCATCGGCGATACGGCTCGATGTGGAGCCAGATTTTCTCCACTCCGACGGCGCCGATGCATCGGCGATGCGTTGGCGATGCGGCGCGATCATCCGACCCCATCTGCTCCGACCCCATCTAGGCGGCCTCTATCTCTGCCCCCCATCCTCCCAGAGGAGATCGCCGCCTTGGAGGGCGAGGAGCCAGGTGTTGCCAAAAGTGCTCCCGGCCCAGTGTGCCCCCCAGGATTTTTCCACCGATGCCTCCGCGGCCTCCAGAGCACCCCTCACGAGGCCCAGAGGGCCCCAGGGGCTCCAAAATTGAGCGAAACGCTGGGGGCACAGTGATCACCGCCGACCAAACCACCCCAACCCGACCCGAAGGCCCCGATTTGCCCTCCATTTCCGGTGGGAGGGGGGGGGGGCGTCGGGGAACCTGGACAGAAACACGTGTGAAGCCCGTACACCCCCCCCCCAACCCGAACTTCGGGCGACGTTCGGGCCTTCGGGCCTTCGTGTTGGGTTGGGGTGGCCTGGTGGGCAGTCCACTGGGCCAGGGGCACCTCCCGCCGCCCCCCGACAAGGAGCGGCTCTGCCTGCTGCGCGCGCGCGCCTGGGAGGAGGGCGCCCCCGCGGCCCCGGGGGGCCGGCCGCTGGCCCCGGTGGAGGCGCCGCCGCCCCGGGGGGCCGCGCGGGTGTCCCGCGAGCGCCGGGTGAGCGGGGGGCTCAGCGGCGCCCCCGCCGATCGCCGAGGAGCAGGGGAAGCGGCGTGCGCGCCGCCGGTCGTTGAAGCCAGACCCCCTCGCGCGGTGAGCAAAACAGATCGGCGGGGGAGGGCCTTGCGCCGCGTTCGGCCTCCGGGGGCCCTCACCGGGCTTCGGGGCCGCCAAAAAGTTGTGCAGGATGAAAAACGCGTCCCGAGGAAGGGTTCCAGGCCTCTGGGGGTCGACGTTGTGGAAAAAAATACTACGTCGGGGGTTTGGGAAAGTAGGTATTCGTGGTTTCCCCGGGCTTCAAGCGCCTTCCTGCTTCAAGAGCCGATGCGCTTTTGCTGTGCTCTGTTGGTCTCCGGGGGGGCCTGAACCCGATCTACTTTATCCGCCTTCCTACTCCATGTTTTTACCTACTTCTTCCGACCGCCGACGTGTAAGCGTAAGCTCTCGGGGCTCCGCGCGGATTTCTTGGATATGTGATGGGCCCCCCCAGCGGCGCCTCCGCGGAGCGCGCCGAGGGCGGCGCCGGAGGCGCTAGGGAGGGGGGCTCAGCGCAGATCCAAGAAATCCGCGCGGACCTCCGAGCGTTTCTGCTCATTCAGTGTTTCCTCCTCCAGAGGGGCCCCTCTGGTTGGTTCGGGGTTCGCAGGCTGGGGGAAGGGCCAGGGAATGAAGTCGAAACCGACGATAAGGATGGGTAGCCTTCCCAAGGGCACCCCTACTGCCTCTTCGGCCCATCCTTGGCCACTTTCAATGGCGGCCAGCGCCGCTCGAGAAGCTTTCGGCACGGGCGTGCAAGGTGCTTTTGCACCCTGATCGCGCCTCCTTGCTGCCAGTTTTGATTTGCAGGAGGGGCCAGACGGGGCTCGGGAGGGCCAGATGCGGGCTCGGGCTCGGGCTCGGGCCCAGACCGACTGGGCGTGGGATCGGGCTCGGGGGCCCAGGCGCGGGGGCTCCGCTCGGGGGCCGGCTCGGGCTTGTGGGCGGGGGGGGGGGTCCCGAGGTGGGGTCTTCGGGGAGCGAGCCCAGCCGGATGCTCACATTCCCTTCTTCCAGGGGCTGTTCAGGGCGATCGTCCTCCCCCTCCCCCCTTGCCCCGGCACCCGCCACCTCCTCCTCCTCCTCCTCCTGCACCTCCACCTCCTCCTCCTCCTCCTCCTCCTCCTCCACCTCCACCTCCACCTCCACCTCCACCTCCTCCTCCTCCTCCTCCTCCTCCTCCTCCTCCTCCTCCTCTTCCTCCTCTGTAGCCATTTTGGCTCAAGCCAGTCTTGCGAAACACAAGATGCTTCGGCACCCTCCATACCCCTTGCCACATCAGTACTGATTCAGATCACACACATGCTTCATCTTGTCTGCGCTTTCTCTGGCATAGTAGCTACGATTCCTCTGCAGGTGGCTCGAGGCCTCCTCGCGATACCGAGCACGTGCGTGCAGTTCATTGCGACCCACATGAGCGGCACCAGCTTTCCCTCGGGGGGCGCTGCCACGCGGTGGCTCCTTCGGGGCTCGGCATCTCTTGCACAGCCTCGTCATGGTTGGCAAAGCGGAGTCTCAGGAGCATGCCTTTCGAGACGCGCATGCCAGCGCCGACGCCGAGACCTTGTCGACCAGTGACCTTCTCAAACCGCACGCCTACAAGCTAGACTGCTATTTTTCCAAGCTGAACTCGATCGTGCACGCGCAGGCAGCACGTCACCGCATGCGCGCACAGTGCTGTAGAAACATATGCAGGTTGTCCAAGCGGACGTGATGAAGCTGTCGTTGCAACATTGACTCGAAGTTCGAGAAGTTCACGCAGCAGCTTGAGGCACTGGCGGCACTACTGCGTACTGAACATGGATATAAACCTCAGTGCCGACGGCTTGACCCCAAGGCTGCAGAATTCGTACCTGCAGCAGGGCATTGCACAGTACCTGTCGACACCACGGCGAGGGCTTCATCGTGGGAGGCTCTTGCCATCGCCCAGCAGACCTCGCTCACCGACATGATCCATGATAAGGCCCTCCTTCACGAGATGGCCATGGACATCGAGAAGCTGCAGCGCGATGGGCAGGCTGACAGGAGGGCTCCCGCACGTGGTCGCCCACGACAAGCTACAGCACCTGATGGACCTGCTGCAGCGCACGAGAATGAGGATATCGAACGACAGAAAGCAGTCATGAGGGAACTTCGCCGTCAGGCTGCGTCTGCTGCTGCTCGCGATGCCAGACGTGACGAACTTTCGCACACTGGACGTCTTTTGGCGTCTGTTTCTGTCCCTGGAGGCGCAGATGACCATACCCAACCGACCGTTCTTTTCCTGGAGGCCAGGCCACCTATGCTTCACCATTGGGTTCGGACGGGCAACATCACCACCACACACACACACACCAGCTCCCTGGCTGCCGAGGCCGAGCTGACAGAGATGGCCGGAGTGTTTATTGCTCGTGGTCTTCTGGCTTTCTGCTTCGCGTAGCATACCGGACGACCTGCGTCTCCGCGAGCTCTCGTTTGACTTCCATGTGATCGTGGTGTCTGTCAGGGGCTTGGGTACTTACACAGCTCCTGATGCGAATGGCAGGCGTGCTTGCCGAGCTGGTAAGATCCTCACTTGCCTAGTCCATCTCACCTCTGGCCCCACCATCGCCAACTCCGACAATTTCTGGCAAACCAGTGCGGCGCAGTACCTGTGCCATCAAGCCCACGCACATAGGCTTCGCGCGAACCATCAACGACGACAGGGGCTCTGGCTTCATATCATGCTGTGACCACAACTCCGTCTACCTCAGGCTGGACGAGATTCTCCCCACGAGCGTGGATGCCCAGAGTGTTCGACAGATTAGCCTGGTGCTCGTCACGGCCTGTAAGGGCCATGAGGCTGCGCATCCACGCGCTCTCGACGGTGACCTCGCTCTTCGCATTGTGCGGTGGTGGAGACGACATCTGGCAGCCCGCAGACAAGATGCCAGCCCGGCGACCACCTCCCACCACGGCAGCTGCGCTCCCTGCGTCGACGAAGCCTGCGAGGTGTAGAAGGGTGTGCGCGATCGGCGAAGGCAGCACCCACGACGAGATCTGACCCAACACTGCCAGCTCAAGACCCACCTGCCACTCT